GGGTTAATGTACTCTAAGTACTATAATATTTTAAGACCTCATTATCAATTTAAAGTATACATCAAGAATCTCTTTCTTTTTTTTCTTGAGACAGAGTCTCACTCCAGTTGCCTGGGCTAGAGTGCAGTCGCATCATCATAGCTCACTGCAATCTCAAACTCCTGGGCTCAAGCAATTCTCCCGCCTCAGCCTCCGGAGTGAGTAGCTGGGACTACAGGGACTACAGGGACTACAATACCATGCTGGCTAATTTTTCTATCTTTAGTAGAGATGGGGTCCTGCTCTTACTCAGGCTGGTCTCTAATTCCTGGGCTCAAGTGATCCTCTTGCCTTGGCCTCCCAAAGTGGTAAGATTATAGGAGTGAGCCACTGCACCTAACCCAACACGCTCTTTCTTAACATTTGGGAATTTTTTGTCTTTCCCTTTTTTCTTTAAATTCACATTTTCATTTCACCTCTCACAAAATTTTATTCAAGAGCAAGATATTTTCATGCTTGGAAAAAAATTTTTTCTCATTATACCATTACGATTCTCTAGAGAAAGTAATACGTATACATTGAAATTTAAAATTTTTCTTTATATTCTGTGATTTCATACCATATATTAACGTTTATAAGAATGTAAGAATCTAAAGGTTAATATATTACAAATTTTTATAAACGATTATTAAACCTGAAAAGTAAATTTTTTTTAGAACACCATCTCTTTATAAGATGAATGAAGTCTTCAGAATAGTTCAGGTATCTGTGGATAAATGTTATTTACAGCTAAAATAAGATAGAATTCATCGACAAAACTAGCCCTATTTTTTACTTTTAGCAGTACAAATGTTGAGAGGCCTTTAAACATCTACGCACATGCACAAACATACACACACACACACACACACACACACCCCTTATTATAGCAATGTTATTCGATTTTTTGGTCTCCTTTCAAGTAATGTCAAAATAACATAAAGAACCAACAAGAAATGTATTTTCTATGATCTCTCAGCTGAGTAACTGATTAATGCCATCTTCAATTTTATTGGAAACAGAGACTTGAAAAACACATGATTTGCAAAAGATTGGTTAATCTGTCCTCAAGAGTCATTCACTCCAGAATTTTAGGGAAGTAAAGAGGCCTTATCAGACTTTCTAAATGACTCTTAGATAGATCTACTACTCTTTCATAGTGGTCCCTTAAATTAATAACATATTCAGAAAGGGTTGAGAAAAATAAAAATATTGTGACTTGTAATAATTTTGGATATAATAATATTGTCTTATGTATTTTTAAATGTATTTCTTCCTTTGAATATATTTAATTGAAACCTTGGAGCTGCTGGTCACTTAATTTATGGAAAATTTTTCCCATGTTAAGTAAGGAGCAAAGCCACCTTTTGTTTTCAAACTTCTTACCCAAAACAAACTT